CCCCCCTCCCAAACCAACACTCGCCTCCCTCTTTTTTCCCATGGTTTTGTAGAAAGTAAATTGTGTTTGATAAGATTAAAACTACGGTTTCCCTTTTTTTAAAGAAATACACCTGTAAAAGATAGGGTCATGATACCAATAAAACCAGAAAAAAAGCATAGCTGTTTGTGAAGGTGAGTTAACTGTTTTTGAAGAATTAACGAAGTAGAAATATTTGCTATGATGCTTTAGATTGATGATGGATCATGGAGGATGGAAACATGTGGTTGCTTCGAATTTTGATGAGCACTTAGCAATTTCTAGGTTAATGAAAATAGTTGTTTGCATTGAGTCAATCCGTGAAGCTTCTCTAAACCCTTTAAGATAGTTATTTAAGGTTGCCACTTTGTTTTCCCTCTATCTTACTGATTTGTATTTTTTCTTAAAAGGCAACCAATGAAAATCTTCCACCCAATGTAATTAAACAACTTGCAAAGGAACTGAAGAATCTTGATGAATCACCACCTGAAGGAATTCAAGTAGGAGTAAATGATGATGATTTCTCGATCATATATGCTGATATTGAAGGCCCAGGCATGAAACGTTTCCCTTCAAATTTACTTTCTTTAAGATGTTCTTTTGGGGTTTATAATCAAGTTTAATTTTGGCCTTGCAGCTGGGACTCCATATGAAAATGGTGTTTTCCGCATGAAGTTGTTACTATCTCATGATTTTCCACACTCTCCTCCTAAAGGTTTGTGGATTCACATTGTTAGTTTGACTTGAACAAAAAAAAAATTGATGTGCAATTATTTCAATTCAAGGGCTTACTTCCTGTAGTGTAGAGGAAACTCAGGGATGCCTTTCTTCATGTTCATTCCAGATTTAATTTCTTGAGCTATTTTCTTTTGTCAGCTTGTGAATCCTCTAAACATTTATGTAATAGGTTACTTCCTGACTAGGATTTTCCATCCCAATATTGCCTCGAATGGTGAGATTTGTGTTAATACGCTTAAAAAGGACTGGAATCCAAGTCTTGGGTTACGCCATGTTCTCACTGTAAGTTCCATCGGCACTGTTATGGGGTCTGCTTTGTCCACTTTCATTGTCACCTCTTGTTGGGTTTTATTGATATTCAAAGCTTGGTGATATCAGGTAGTGAGGTGTTTATTAATTGAACCATTTCCAGAGTCAGCTTTGAATGAACAGGCTGGCAAGATGCTCCTCGAAAATTATGAAGAGTATGCCAGACATGCCAGGTGAGCCATCCCTCCACCTAGACTTTCATGTGGTGGTAGATGGAAGCAGGAGAACCTTATTCATTCATCAAATATCATGGCATTTATTAATGGTTAGGACAGACCTGACAGTGGATCTAGTTATACAAAAAAGGCAGGTGCCGTGTGGGACCTTTGGAAGTATTCAGAACATTATGAAGATGGCAATCTCTTCGGTGTTAATAGACCACAACTTCTGAAACTCCTAGTTCACATGCTATTTCAGCACCAGGTCTTCGCCATTTTCAAAAATGCATCCCGTGGTTTTGCACTTATGTGGAAATGATCAATAAGTACATATTTCTTCATTAAATTTCATTTGGGTCACACAAACAAAGAAACTTTGAAATATGTTACAGAATCTGAAAGAAAATGCATCATGCTAGATATAACAGAAACCCTTTTTATTTCTATGGCACACTGCTTATAGTTTTTCATTGCGACATGTGAGATTAGAAAGTGTCTAGTCACATGGGTTGCATATTGGAATGAAAACTATATTGTTGATCGCTAACATGTGTTTGCTAACTTGTTTCCAGGATATATACTGGTATCCATGCGAAGCCGAAACCTAAGTTCAAGACTGGAGCCATTTCAGAATCAACTACGGCTCTGAATGTTGACCAAAGCATTGGCGACCAAAAGAGTGTAGCTGTTGGTGCTGTCGTACCGTTGCAATCCCCACTGGCCCCTTGTACAACAGCGAGCAAAGGAGGAAATAGTCAGGATCAGCCAGCTGCTGTAGGTCCAACGCACGAGACAGGAATGAGTGGATCTGTGGCTGCACCAACACCCAGTACCCTGAAAAAAGATGTTGGACTTGCAAAAGTTCAGGCAGGCAAGAAGAAAATGGATGCAAGAAAAAAGAGCTTAAAAAGATTATGATGTCTAACTGCCATGAACTGCCATGATGGATATGTGGCCAGCTTCTGTTGTTTATTGATGAACGGGCCCAATGGGAGTATATGATGGTGTGAGAAATATTTTCTTTGAGGGAACAAGTGATGGATTTTAATCAACTCTTTGTTTGACTTGCATTATGATCTCTTTCTTTGTGATTGAACACCTCAATGCATCCCTTGAAGAATCCGGGTGTGCTAAGAAATTGCCAAGACCTCTATATGATTTTTCTTGTTCCTTTTCTTTTGGTATGGTGTACTAATTTTGAACCTGTGTATGTAAATGTAAGCAGTTCATTGCCAGAGGGGCGTTGCTTGGTAGATACCGCTTTGCACACAGCCAAAGAGAAATGAGCACACAGAGTGGAAATCGCTGCAATTACAAGTTATGAATCTACACGGGAATTACGAATGGCTTATGGAAACGATTCGATCTCCAGATGATTTTATATTCTCAATCCTTTACATGGATATCTTCATCTTCGCTTCTTCGCAGTTCACAAATGTTTTGATTGACTGGTAAAAGGGCATTTCTGCTATATTAAACTTTTTGACCAATCATGGACCAGCACCAGACTATTCTTCGTAGCCTTTTCTTTTGCATTTAAAAGAGCCTCCTCCTACCGCCGCCCGCCATAAATAAACAAGCAGCAAAGACAGAATGTTTGGCAGGTGGTCCAAAAAAGACATGAGCCGGCGGAGCATGGACTATTTGTATGTTAATCCTCCGACGACCAGCCAAGATTATCATAATCCATGCTACAGGCATTTAATTTTAGCAGCTTCAAATAAGATTCGCCGACCTGTGCAAGATGCATAACCACAAGGCACAATAACAAGAAACGTGCAATAGGGGCATAACCACAAGGCACAATAACAAGAAACAGCAATAGAAACCATCTAGATGGTGGCCACGTGATAAAAACTTAGGACTAAGGGGTTTGCTTTCTCTGTAGTCTTAGATTCGAGTCCTTGGTTACTCATATAATGACCACTAGAGACTTACATGGTTGTTAACTTCAGGACCCGTAAAATTAGTCGTAGTGCGCGCAAGCTGATCCGGACATCCACGTTAATCTAAAAAAAAAA